ACGATCCTCGTGAGGAACGAACGAGCGAACGAACGAAGCCGCGCCCTGACGGCGCACTGGCACACATATGGAAAATGCTGATCACGTGCGTGCCGGCACGCAGAGAAAAAATAGCCGGGCGAAGGGCGCAAACGTATGCAGTTGTGAATACCGCAATTGTGAATGCCATCTTCGCCCGCGCTCCCTATGTGGCCGCGGCTTCCCGCTGGAGCCCGATATGCTCAGGAACACGTTCGTGGCCGTCTTCGTGGGCGCCGACGACGACAAGGTGGACGGCGCCCATCTGACCGAGGAGCAGAAACACTTGTGCTAGGACCGCCCCCTGATGGTGCGCAAGGGTGCGCTCACGCTTTTGTTGTGCTGGATAGCTTCCGACTATGGAGTCTCATGGTGCAGTTCAGAATCTTCGGAGGCCACATCGAGCACGGGCGAGCGCGGCCAACGATCCCACGCTCACTTCGTGTACAGCATATCGTATCCACGTGTCTGGCGAACGTGGACGTATCCCTGAGCCAGCCGATGCCGCATGCAGGTCTCCTTGGGCTTCCCCCGTACCTCGAGGGGGAGCCCTGAGACTGCGGCGCAAGTGGCATGCTTGCAACGCGCCGACCAACCCCCAGCAGATAAGGATTGGCGCCCTCAACGCCAACGGTACTTCGTGGGGCGCGTCGGAGGCCAGATCCAAGCTGGCGCGCATCGTGGAGAGACCCAGACAGGAGAAGTGCCATGTTTCTCTTATCAGCGATTTGACAAATCCGAGCTGGCTGCATCAGGAAATACCACAGCCAGTTATTGTTGCTCTGGAAGAGAATACACTATGTTTGTATGTGGCAAAGTCGGTGTCATATTGTCAGGGTACATGGTAGAAAAGTGGCGTGCTGCAGGTTCCGAGCTGTGTGTGATCCCCGAGTCGGACAGATGGGTCGGACTACGGGTGTGTATTCGTGGTTTCTTCTATGTGATTATTGCGCAGTGTACACCGCGGCAGAACCCAGCCTGGGGGCTCAACCGACGGGCCCAACATTTCCAAGAGGGCAGTCTGATGATCAGCAGACTGCTGAGATCTGGAGACCAACTTATTATAGGGGGCGATTTCAATTCTCATCTGGGCGAGGCGGACAGATCGAATTGATTCTTGGGCAAGTGCACCAACCGCGCCGCCACTTCGAAGATGAGCCACCAACTCCAGAAGTTCGGAGTCGAAGAGGGCCTGGTCCATATCGACTCGAGGCTCGCGCTCTCGCGCCGAGGGGCGTTCAATCACAATGTTGCGAAGACTTGGTGCGAGCTCGAGGTTTTTTCGTGCATCGTTCGGGGCGCCGGCCAGATGGCGCAATCTGAAGGCGGTCGCTTTCGCCCTGTGCGACCACCGAGGCAAATTTGCATCCTTTTTTACCTTTTGGACGGGTGGCGAAGCAGGAGCTTCGGCGCATCAGAGATCCTACTCGAGCGGTTCCCCTTCGCCCAGTTCTGTGGCCCCAGGCTCGTGGCGTAGGCGACGAGGCAGTGGAAGTTCGGGAGAAGTGCCGCCAGTGCCTCGTTGACGCACGGGCGACGACGACGACGGGGGCAGGCTGGCGAGATGTATCGAATGCATTTCTTACTGCAGCAAAGGCGGCGTGTGGCCGCGGACAGAGGCAAAGTGGTATGCCGGTGCTCGCGGGGTGCAAGCCAGATGCTCTCGTGGGCAAGCAGAGGGTTGCCGACAGTTATTCATCATATTGTGTGGCTCGAGACGCCCCCACCGAGCGGCAGATGCTCACGAACTATCGGGTGGCGAAGAAGATGGAGAGACAGCTCGAGCGCGACCTCACAGGCAAGGCCATCAGCAGTTTGTGCCAGCAGCTCGAGTGGGCGGTGACAAACCACGAGATGGGCAAATATTATTCTTTGTTACGCGAGCTTGGCGTGTGCATCAGCTACGACTGGATCAATGATGTAGAGCAGGTCAAACCCGACGGCTGCCGCGAGCACTTCCAGAAGATCAGTGGCACGACGGCCGCCCCGTCGGTCGATGTATCCAGCAATTTACCCCAGAGGCCTGTGTGCGAGTCTTTAGACGACCCCCCCCCACCTTCGAGGAGTTTCAGATGGCAATGAAGGGGGTGAGGGTGTCAGCAGTAGGCAAAGACGAGGTCCCAATCGACGTGATCAGGCAGGCGCTACGATCTTATCTGCAGGATGTGGTCGGAGGCGAACTTAGGTGGACCCCAGCCTCACTGGGATATATCAGCCCACGAAGCGATAGTTCTCATGTTGTACAAGAAGAAAGGATCGAGAACATACCTGGGCAAGTACAGAGGAATATGTTTGCTCAGCATGATCACTCGCATCTTGGCGTGCTTGGCAGTCAGGCGAGTAGAGAAGTACCTCGAGGGTCTGTCCTTTTTCGAGAAGGAGCAGTGGGGCTTCAGGCGTGGGCGTTCGACCAGAGTTTTTTCTTTTTTTCTCACAAAAACAAATCGCGCGTATCATATGCGAACTGTATGCCGATTGGGAGATACTTTTATTAGTCCAACGCTCCAAGTATCAGAGTGCTGGCACTTGGGACAGGCACCAGGCCGCCTGGACTACAGCGTATCAGAACTTTCAGAGCAGTCAGGCAGTTTTGTATCTTGCAGATATTCAGAAAGCATATTCGACCGTTTCCCGAGAGCCTCTTTGGCGCGCCTTGCTGAAGGAGGGGCTCCCATCGAACGTCGTGTCGATCTTCGGGGGACTTCGCGGAGAGACGAGCTACCAAGTTCGCCCCCATTTCGGGGAATCGGATCCATATCTTTGGGGCCGTGGATTGCGAGAAGGATGTGCCGGCTCTTGCACTTTGTTTCAACTGTTATCACAACTATTCTTTACGAGTTTTGAAGGAGGTATTGCCAGGCATCGGACTCCAGATGACACCGCCCCCTCGGTGCTCACTTGGGCGCGGGGCCAACTGGCGGAACGGCGAGGCCACGAGTTCAGTGGATTTCAAAGTCATGGGTTTCGCCGACGACACGTCCGCGTGGATCGCCATGCCGCAGTTTCAGGAGACGGTGGGCCTAGTTGGGAAGGTAATCGGAGACCGAGGAGAAAAGGTCCATCCTGGCAAGGACGAGTACATGAGAGCGGGGGTGTGCGATCTTTCACAGTCTCTCCCAGCTGGCATTCGCCGCTCTGTTCGAGTACTAGGTGGGTGGGTAGATGCGGACGGAGGATGGGGGGCCGACGCTTCGAAGAGGATACAAGCAGCGTCCAGGGTTTGGATGAAACTCAGATACCAGCTTGGGGCTTCCAACCTACCTCTCAGAATCCAGGGCCAAATATTCCAGGCGTCAGTTATTGGGTGTTTACTGTGTGGGGCCGAGGTCCGAGCTTTCCACCGGAAGGACATCGATCGATATCAAGCTTTCATAGGCCGATGTGTCAGATATCTAGCGCATCGAGCCGGTTCCGGTCTGCCTGAAATAGCATACATGATTCCAACCCGAACAGAAGCTTCGAAAATACACATGCTTCCAGAACTCGCTGCTTGTGAAATTTGCTTCGGTTTGCGTGGCTCCAGAAAGCGCATAGCTTCTTGAATGTGCCACTGGTTTCTCCGAGTCGTCGTGTCAGCTCTGCCTTGGGCCTCCCATCCGCGCTTAATAACCCACCCAAATATACGGTGCTCTCCTTGCATGCTATAGCTTTGCCATCGGGTCCATGGACAACCCCGTTTGAACGAATCTTGAGCAAAATGGTTTTCCCAGGATTCAGCTCCAAACCGTAAATCTTCCCGACGTCAAGTACCAAATCCAAGTGAGCTTGTAATACATCAGGCTCCCTGGCGAGAAACATGGTGTCATCAGCATACAAGGCGTCCTCTGTGATCAAGTACCGTCTAGTTCATCTGTTAGGTTTTTCTGCCTACAAGCGCTTGTCCACCCGCCCCAAAATAATTTACATAATAATAATGAATAACTGTGGTGACAGAGGGCACCCTTGGGCGATGCAGGCTGATTGTGTCCTTTGCGACGTCACCGTATTCCCATTTTGCACCACGAACTTCCGCATTTTGTAAATGCCCTGGATCATCTCGACTATTGCTGGAGGGACTCGAAATTCTTGCAGCGCGTGTACGACTCTTGTAGGGTTGATACGGTCAAACGCTTTGCTCCAATCTAACAACACAAGTAATAGTTTACCGTCTTTGTCATCCAATGTGGCGTCAATCAGCCTGCGTGCCAAAAATAATGCGTCGCTGGTGCCGCGTTCAGGCCTGAAAGCATATTGTGACTCTCTGAGAGCTTCTTCTGCGCCTCCTTTATAAGTCTGTTGAGAAGGATGCTAGCTAAAATTTTGTACCCTACAGCGAGCAAGGGAATAGGCCGGTAGTTCGAAGGCAGGGAAGTATCGCCTTTCTTAAAGATTGTGACACCTGAAGCTTCTCTCCATTTGTCTGGTATGTTTTTCTTGTCCCAGCAAGCGGCAAGAAGTGAAGTCAACACGTCAAGAGCAGCGTCGTTTTCCCACAGTGCGCGCCAGAGTTCAGACGGCACGTCGTCTGTGCCCGCAGCTCGCTGTAGTCGTAGATGTTTGACTGCACGCTTGACCTCTTCGGCTGTGATCGGTCCCGCATCCACGTGTAAGAAGCCTTCTTCGCTGGCCTCGTCTCTGAAGTTTCCTGCGTCTGATGGCGGGCGCCACTGAGTCTGTTCCAAGAAGTCCGCCATGGCGTCAGCCCGCTGAGAAAAATTCTACCAACCGGCCGTCTGCATCCTGAAGCCGCCCACGCTTTCGAGCCGGGCCCTTTCCGCAATGCTTTGACTGCTTGCCACCCATTATTTGCAGTACGTTCTGTGAGCCACTGTTTCCTGGCAGTCTTTCGGTGTTGTTCCCTACTGGAGCCCCCGTTTGCCGTGCCTGGTTCCGTTCTTCGATGAGATGGATGGTGCGGTCCGACATCCAAGGGCGCAGGCGCGGCGTCGATTGTATAGTTATGCTTGCAGCCGCGGATTCCAACATACAGCGGGATAAAGCTGCAGCGTGCTCATCCAAAAAATTCCTTTTTCTTGCGGTCGTTTTTCGGTATTGAAATCTTCAAATCAACAATTTGTACAAAATGATGCGATTGAAGGGAGTGGCTGCGATCGCTCCAAATGTCAGAAGTGGTTGTTACGTGTTCTCGACGATGACGTGGTCCAGCTGCTCAAACTCACCCGACACGATGTCGCTTGATGGATGTACGCCGATGTCGTGATATGTCACGGTGTGCTCAGCGTCTTGTCTAGAATCTGTATTCGCGACGCACGCCTCCAGTATGTGGCACAATTCCAAAAGGCCGAGGCCGAAATGGCCCGAGGCCGCCATGCGAACCCTGCCACTGGCGCCTTCGGTGGAGCTCCTACGGGGCCACGATCCTCGTGAGGGGTGTGCCGAAATGTGGCCCGAGGCCACCATGCGAACCCTGCCACTGGCGCCTTCGGTGGAGCTCCCTATGGGGCCGCGATCCTCGTGAGGGGTGTGCCGAAATGGCCCGAGGCCGCCATGCGAGACCACGAAACGTTGTACTGGGTGGGTGGAACGCAGGGAGGGAAGAGATGGGGGAGGCAGCGGGAGGAGAAGGAAGGAAGGAGGACGCGGGCGCTATCTCCTCAAAACGAGGACCCAACACAGGATGGTTGGGAACAACTCGAGGCGACCAGCCGGCCCTGGAGAAGGAGGCCAGGCCCCAGGGGCCCAAGTCCCGAAAAGATCGTGGCGCGCGCTCAGCGTGCCAGAGGAGGGCCCGAAGATCTGCCCGCTCGCCTCTTTGCTCACCCTTCGTCGAGCTCCTTGGTTTTGGCGCACTCCGTGCCTGAAGTACACACTCAACTATGTTCAGCACGAATGCCAGAAGTGCCACTACGGAGGTGAAGAAATAGTTACCGCGTCAGCCCACCTCCCGTGGGTGGTACCCTCGCCTGGTCTTTCGTCCACGCCAAGGTGAAGACGGCATGGGAATGTGGTTGAGTGGCGCTGGGCCCCAAACCTCCAACATGCGGACAAGGCACAGGACGGACTTGCTCACTCTTTGCGGCCTCTGCTCGGCCACTCGCAGAGGGGGGTAGGGGGAGGGGGGGAGGCTTCTTAGAAGCACCGCTGCTTCTCAGGAGGCGCGGGCTTTGTCTGTAGATGTAGGGCCCGCGCCTTCCAAGAAGCAGCCTCCTTCGAAGAAGCCTTGCCCCCTCCCCCTACCCCCCTGTGCCCGCCGCCACTCTGCGGACCCTTCTCGGCCCTAGGAGCACCACACCGCGGCTCGAAGCGAAGAGCTGGTCCCCAGGAAGGGGTCGAGAAGTCAGAGTCTCGTGTCCTCGGAGGTCTGGGTCCCAAGTCGGACCCAACAGAGGCAGGTGAGCTCAGTAGCCAAGCTCTGGGTGGAATGTTGATCGAGGGGATGGGCGACTAACCCTCTGACGGAGCTTGCCCATCCCCCCCTCCTCCTCCCCCTCCTTCTCCTCCTTCTCCTCCTCCTCCTCCTCCTCCTCCACCCCCTCCTCCTCCTCCTCCTCCTCCCCCTCCTCTTCCACCCCCTCCTCCTCCTCCTCCTCTTCCTCGTCCTCCTCCCCCCCCCCCTCCACCCGTTCCGACAGCACGTGCCCAACCCCTCCAGCGGATCCAAGTGAGGGGCGATTATTGCCCCGTCCAGAGTAGCCAAAAGCTTCGTCGCGCTCACGCCAGACAGCGGGAGGGTCGACTCGTGCTGCCATGCTGGCAGGCAGCGGGCCAGAGACCGTCCAGGGAGTCTGGGGCTTGCTGGGACCCGTGCCAACTGATTGACGTGGAGGTGGTGGAGGTTGTGCAGCACGTCGGGGCCCTTGAGTGCCTTCTGCCAGCGTCCCTGGGCCTGTCTCTGCTCGGCCGCTCTCTGAACACCACGTTGGCCTCGATCGCGCAGCCGCCTCGCCGTTTCGAAGCCGCCGCGTCGTAAAGGCCGGCTACCCCCAAAGATGCAGGGCAGGGTGCGGATGGGGCAGGTGCAGAATTTCCTTGACGCGCTGGTGAAGCAGGCGAACCCGCAGGCCGCGCAAGTCAAGGCCGATCGGGGGAGCCCGTGCCGCGGCAAAGCTTCCAGCTTCAGCCTCGAGCTGGCCTTGTTCTGCCTGGCACCCGCCGCGCTGCCGTGTTTTTTTGGGCAAGCGCGCCCATCCTGAAGAGGTGCCGAAGCGGGACGGAGCCCTGGGCCCCAAGTTCATGATGTTCGGGGCCCTCGGGCCGGGCGGTCGCAGGCCTGTCTGACAAGAGTGCTCGCTTTTTCGGGCCACGGCCTGCACGAGCATGCGAACATTATAGTCGGGGGCGCGGGGAACGGCGTCGTTTCGGCTTTCGGAATTCTTGGAATGTTTCTTGTTTGTGTATACACATACATATATATACATCTGTATCTATGTATGTAAGTATGTATGTATGTATGTATGTAAGTATGTATGTATGTATGTATGTATGTATGCATGTATGTATGTATGTATGCATGTATGTATGTATGTATGTATGTATGTATGT